TTGTGTGATTATTTGGGGCAATTCCAAAATATGTAGAAAATCTGAAAGATATTGACAAAAACTACTGTCTTAATTCTCAGTCAGAGGCAGTCATCTGTGGGTACAAGCACCTGCTTATCTGCTCATCCGCTCATCCAGCTTTTTCTTCATGTTTGTAAGGGCAGATGTATGTGTACATACAGGTAACACTCTCTTCGTCATGTTCAACTTTATTTATGGTTTTGAGGCTGGGTCTCTCACTGGACCTTAAGCTCGCCAGTTTGGCTCCTCAGAGATCCTCCTGTCTCTGTATTATTGCATTTTGGTACTTTCTTGTATACACCCCCAGAAAACACCATAGTAGATTTTAAGGTAAATGCAGGCCCTGGACCTGATTCATCTCCGTGACGCCTAGCACAGGGCCTGCGATGTAGCAGGCGTCATAGCTGGTAAGGCTCTAGGAGGGCTTTATTTGAGTATCCCCAGGGTCCTTCTAGGAAGTCGTTGCTAGGATGAGCATGGACTGTTAAAGCAATGTTGGATCTGGACCACGCTATAGGAAACACTTTCCCAACTCAAGTCTGTGGGGTCAGACAGAGGAATATACATCGAAGAAAAAGCGGTTGAGGCATGAGGGTGTCCGTTGGTGAGGACTGTGGCTACACAGAGAACAGTGAAGGACAAGCCACATCTTGGCTGCAGAACATCCATTGGCTACAGTCTAGCTTTCTCACGAGGCCCATATCTAGACTCATATATAAAACCTCCAAGCTAAACGCTCAGTTTAATCTGGCTCAGGCCACCAGGAATACATCCTAATTAGCATGCATTGGCTGCTTGGGCTGTACAGGCGACACAGCAATTGTGACACTCAATCCAGCAGGTGAGGAAGACAGGGCATCGGCTCAGAGGCTGTGGATCTCACAGCATGCCTCATCCCATCTAGGGCTGTATTGTCTCCAGGGTTACCTGGCCATTTCCGAGGACCTCTATGGTAGTCAGATAAAGGTGGAGGTCTGGTGGCTAACCATCCCATGGGGCACTACACAGCTCGTAGGGATTGAGAATTGTCTACCTAAAAATAGCCTCAAAGCCAAGGTGGAGAAACAGTCTACTAATCACAGTGTTTTCCAACTCTGGTCATATCCTAAGAATGCTTGGGAGGCTTAAAAGTCACATGCCAAAAAAATAAGGAAGGAAGAACCTCTGAGTAGGTATTGTAAATGTCTGCAGGGATTCTAAAATGTAGCTGGATTAAGACCTACGAGGTGGCATCCCCAACTCTGAGAATGCCCCACGATAGAATCCACCTCCTTGCTGAGAACCCACAGGATGCTTTTCTCAAACAGCACTTGGTAAATGTCGTGTGGCCTGGGTAGGGGTAGATCAGCCATCTGTCATCTATGCCCTCCAAACTGCCATGCTTGGCTTACGTTGACTTTTAACCTATTGGTGCCTAACAAAAATTGTTTTGTTTGTTTGTTTGTTTGTTTTTCCTCCTTGAGTCAATTATTCAGGCCATCAAAGGGACATAATTTCCGGCATACACACATGCTTTCTGCTAGAATAATTACTTCTGAAAGCGAAAAGTAGGCAAACACTCTGAGCGATTTATTCACACCAAAGGAGGCTGATAAAATTAACTCCATTTTTTTGTCACCCCACCACCACCACGGACAGTGACAAGATTTAGAAATGCAACAGCAAATGTGGGCTAGGAACTTCTACTGTCATCGCTTGAGAAATGAAAGAGGAAACTTAAAAACAAACAAACAAAACCCAAAGAAGACAGTAAAGACAGGGATAGCTGATGCTTTCATTAGCTGTCTTCGTTTTCATTAGCATCTCAGTGATCTGACTGGTTGACTTGTTTGGATCTAAGGCATGTCTGGAGCAGACTATGGTGAGACCTGAATAAGGATAAAGGTGCGTACCTTTAAATTAGAACTATCCCATCTACCTGCTTGCCAGCTGCTGCCTAGGAGTGTTACTGTCTGGAGTCACCTGATTGAGGTTGCATAGGAGTACCCATGGACATTTAGGAAGTCTGAGCTTTTACCCAGAGCTCTATCTGGCACTGAGTGGCCACAGATCTCCAACACAGCCCTATCTCTTGCAGCCTGGTGAGGAACAGAGATGCCTAAGCAAATGAGCTGTTGGGACAGATGGGCTTTGAATCTTGCCAGGTGAGAACAGGAGTGGTGGAAGTTGGAAGGGCATGAACATTGATTGTCTTGAAATAAGTGCTGAGGTAGGAGACAGCTCTGTAGGAGCAGGGAAAGGGCAAAGATAGGCTAAGCCCTGGCGGGGAGGCAAGACAGGACTCAAAGACACAGAGACTCTTCTATCTAGAAGGAATGACATGGGCAAAGCTCCGGAGACAAAGGAGAGCTTAGCTGCTGGGAGAGTTTCGCTAAACAAGTGGCTGGATGGGAGATGGGAAGAGAAGGGACATTGAGGCAGGAGAGGCAGCTAGGGCAGACATGAAGCATAATTGTGTTGAGTGTGGGGAGTGTGCAGAAAGACAGTTTCATGTAGGTGGGCATCTTGAAAATGAGCAGCAGAGTGGAGAAAAAGATTCTGGGTTTGGCCCAGAGGGCCCCAAAGGCCACTAAATTCTACGGTATGATCCTGGTGGGCTAACACAGTACTGTATGGAATAGTGCAGACAGAGATCTAGACAGTGCAGAAGGGCCCAGGAAACTGATGGGGAAAGGCTGAGGCCACACCAAGACAGCCTGCTCTCTAGAGACAGGGAAAGAAGCCATGGAAATAGGAGAGGCCAGGAGACCCTTCATGTGGAGAAGAGTTGTACGGAATATCTAGAGACCAGAAGGAAACAAAGCTAAAAAGAGAGAAGAGGGGTTGGAGGGGGAAGGGAGTCCCACACCAGGAATATAAGCCTTTGTTTGGCATTTCTTCAAAATACTGCTGCGGAGATTTTAAAGACTCAAACTGCCTTTTGCTCATTTTTGGACGTCATCCCAAGATTCCTTTTGACTTGAGGCCAAGCTTGAGTCAAACAGTTCACATGCCACCAATGAAGCAGGGAAGACCCATTACCTGGCCTGAACCAGGCCCTTGGCCTGAAGCTCCTGCAAGGTCTACAGCAGCCTTTTTCTTTTTTCTTTTCTTTTCTTTTCTTTTTGTTTTTTTAAAGGCTCAACTACCACAAGGACCCCATTTAGGATGAACAGGATTCTATCTCCAAGTCCTTCCTCTGGTAGCTGGAAGCCAGGATTACCCAGAGGATTGCCTCAGTGGGGAAGGAGTGCAACCCCATGGTCATCCCTGTAGGCTAGGTGAGGCTCCATGTTACAGAATGGAGAGCAGGTGTCTGGGCAATGAGTATCAACCCTAGCCCACTGTCCTAGAATGACATCGTGGAGCTCTTCAGCTTCTGAAGCCTCAAGTAAACATGCAGGATTGAAGAGGCTGTTACTGAACAAATACCTTATTCATGCAAGATCAGAGGAAAGGCAGGTTCTTCAGGTTTGGGTCAGTGTGCCCCAAGAATAAAGGCTGTTGGGTCTCAGGACATGGCTACTCTGAATCACTTAAGTTTTCATCACCGCACAATGGCTGAGGTGGAGTGTTAACAGAACTGTCTGGATATTAAAATGTCAATGAGGTTGTTCTTATGAGAAATAATAGCTGCTGTTTTTATTTGAACCGCTCCCTGGGTCCCAACCCCCTTTTAATATTTATTTCTACTCACATAAAGAAATTGCTTTATCATCTAGTTTATAAATTCGGGTCCTCCCAGCCCCCAATCTGTGATGATTTATTTTCTTTATAGAAAATGTTAATAACTGGCCAGGAATCTAGATCTTAAAAGCAAGCAAAAATGAAATCTTTGAAAATGAAAACAAATGATTTATTATTATTTTTTTCTTTCAGGGAACTGCTGCTTTTTTAAGATGCAGGAGGCAGGGCAGTGAGGAAATAAATGGCTGAATCGCTTTCCTGAAGGCAGCCCCCATGGCAATTATCTTTTCCTTCCCATCAGTGCACTGCATGAGAAATTCTGAAGTACTTCTGGGGCAATAGTGTCCCTAGGTCAAGATACCCAAAGATTAAAGACAGTCACTGCTAGAAGATGGCTAACAGTGAAGGAGACACACACATCCAGGAAGGAACAGGTGCCTGAAGGCTCTAAGGCAAGAACTCCAAAGGGAAAGAAAGACAAGGGAGCATTTCAGAGTAGCAGGCATTGGAATGGGGTACTGAGGGGTCAATAGGAGGTATCCAATGGAAGAGAAAAATACAGAAAGAAATAGAATGCTGGACAGCTATCTAGAGGGAAAGAAGGCAGCTGGAGATGTGAGGTGAAGACACATGTGGACCAGGATCAGTGTCCTACAGGAAGGCTAGCTGGGTGACGACTGCACGGGTCTAAACAAGAGAAGGGGACCCCCTGTTCTAGGGCAGTAGTGGTATGATGTAGACAAAGAACAGGTGCAAGAGGAGCCTGGAAGGTGGGAAAAGGGGCTGCCTAGCGGTCACTTGGCACCCGGTATTCACCCCGAGAACGTGGCAGGCTGGCAGCCAAATTAAAAATTCATGTGAAGGGGAAGAAAAAGCAAAAGCATGGTGGGAGGAGAGAAGGGGTGAAAGACATTTAATTCGGAAGAAAGGCAAAGAGAACCGAGCAGGGATGAGGCTGAGTCTCAGGCTTCTTCCATCTTTCCCGTTTCTATATAGTTCTGTGGTGGACAGCTCACTACTGCACACAGCCTTATTCCCTGCCACCTTTTGCAAGTATCTTGTGCCACAGCTGCTTTTCCAGCTGCATAGACATAGTTGCCTTTGATTTTTACTTTCAGTTGCCCCATGAAGTATCTCAGGAACCAACCTGAATCAGCAAAGGCCTGAGGAACTGCCTTGGCAGAGTCTTCGTTAGATCAGCCACAGCAAGGCAAAAAGATGAGACTGCCCACTCTGGCCCTTGACTGGACTATGAGCAGCCATGGCTGCCTGAGTCCCTCCCTCTCCCCTGTATCCCAGAGGTTTTCAATTACCGTGCTATTGCAGCCAGCAAAGCAGGCTGACAGGTAGGTGACGCCATCCGCCCCACACACTGGAGTGAAGGAATCGGTCTGACATTCACAGTTGTTGTTGCACTGAGAGTAGGGGTCCAGGGCCGAGCCACGTGCTGAGCTGGAAGAGAAGGGTTAAGGGGACACATCAGAAGCAGGGCCATCAAGATGGGATGGCAACGGCGATAGCACTCCGCTGTGATGGGAAACGTGGTGCCCTCCTTCAGAGCACTGACCGGCCAGGCTTCTACTCTTCCCATCTCGTCCCTGGCTGAACTGCATGTGCCTGTCTTGACTACTGCCCTGAGTGCCCAGACTGTACCCCTTGAAACAGTGCTGGGTTGGGTAGCTGGTGGTATGGCCTTTGGGCTTCTCCCAAAGTGAGGAGTATCTTGCATTTTGTAACCATGTGCCCTTTGACCTGAAGGCAGCTGGGGCCTAGTTCAGGGTTATTCCCTCCGGGACACTTCTCGAGATGGCTGCAGTCCCCGCTACACCTAACTACTCCTGCGCTGCTGGATACCTCACTCCCCTCGGCTCGTTTCTCCCTCTCCTGCATGCAGAATGCCCAGCTTGGCTTCACCCCTCTGACTGGTTCAATATCCAGAGCCACAGAATGAATGCTAGCTAGGGTACGCTTGCCTCTATACTACAAAGAAGCAGCCACCACCAAACTGGGAACAGACACCCAGGGAGAGCCCAGTCTGCAGCCCCAGAAGGAGGAAGCGACTTCAGCGGCCTCATTTTCTGCTCTGTCCTCAGGCTCAGAGCACTTCCTGGCAACACGGGTGACACGGGGACACCTGGCTGTTGAAGAAATTCTCTGTGTCGTTTGGTCTGTTCTCCGTATAACCCCACAAACTTTATCAAACGGGAAATCGAGGCTGGGGCAGGTGAAACATTTGTCCGAACATAGGTAGTGCTTGAGTGTTGAGAGTTAGTTAGAGCTGGGCAGTGTGACCTCGGGCCTTCGGCTTTGTTTATTTTTCATTTTTATGGCGCAATGGCACGGTAGTGGGACCCTGCACATGTGCTAATCACTGCAGTGCGCTGCTTGTGAGCTGAGCAGTCCACAGTGAGGGCTGTTGTTCAGATCCAAGTACAAGCCAGAGGCTTACCCTGTACACGAGGAACTGGAGGTGACCTGGAGGGCACATGGGTCTGGGAGAAGCCGTCCCTACTCTCCCTCCTGCTCCCTCTCAAGGGATGGCAGATGAGTCCCTTTCTACCCAGTCTACAGGCTTCCTTGCATCCCAGTGGCCTGCCTGGAGGAGGACTCTGGCTGTATAACCTGCAGGATAGCCACAGGGAATATGTCTGGGCTAGACTGCACAGCTCAGGGTGGTCTCTGAGTCCCATTAGGAAAGAGGACATTGGACGCAGAGATAATATAATTCTATAATTTATTTGAAGGGCAATTGCTATGGAGACTCTGGTCAAAGTCCTGGGGTAATAACCAGGGCATAAGAAAAGAGATCCCATAGCAACCGGCTGATTCCTGTTCCTCCTGCCCTCTCTCACCATTTGCTTCTATTGCTTTCTTCCCCTACCATTTAAAGATGCTCATCGTGGACCGACCTGGTAGTGATTACGTGGGTGGATGGAAGTTTCTGATTCCTATAGGAATTACTGACATTAATTCTCTCTTTATTTTAAGCTGAATTTTGAAATAAGTTTTATTTATTTATTTTTTATTTTTTTATTTTCCCATCTTCACATCATTCCTAAGTCAAATGTCAGAAAGAGCAAGTGGACCAGAGAATGAATGACTGCTCTGTTTGTGGGGTTGTGCTGCTGTGTAGAACAACTCAACACACAGAGGACAGGCTGAGTCTTCCAACTGCAAGGAAGAAGCTAAGGCCTTCTGGCCTTCTCTGCTCTGGATCACCAGAGTCCAAGCTGGCTCTACCAGCCTGTGGTAGAGAGTCTGGTGGCTCTGGGCAGGGCTGAGTGAGCTCTGTGAACCCACACTGAAGGTGGCCCTGGTAGTTCTGGGTAGGGTGAGTGAGCTCTATGAACCCACAGTGAAGGTAGCTCAGGTGTTCCTGGGCAGGGTCAAGCTAAGAGTTTAGGTACTTACTTGTTTCCATAGGGAACAGTGACCCCAGCCACAGGGCCCGTGTCACAGCCCAGGAAGAGGAAAGAGACGTAGCAGGCTGTGGACACCAGGTTGACCATCATGGCCATGCGAATGGCCCCCAGGGCAGACAGGCTCAGCTTCTTCACCAAAAGGCCTCCCAGGAAGATGCCCAGGCAGGCACAGGGGATTGCCGTCATCCCTGAAGGAGCAGAGCAGTGGGATGTGAGTTAAGGAAGAGGGGCTGGTGGGTATCAACAGGCCCTGTGACTTCACATGACTCTATAGTCTTCGTGGAGGGTCTTACCTCTGTTCTCAGGGTACTCCCAGATAACAAAGGGAGACGGGTGGAAAAAAGTCAGTTACTGTGAGCCAAAATGTACACAGCTGGCACACCATACCTGGTGCTACTGAAGAGGACGTATGTACATAAGCTAATGTGGATCCAAGTAAGAGATGAATCAAGAAGGGATGAAATCCAGATTAAATATTAGGAAGCAATGATAGGATCTCTGCATTAGTCTGTCTTTTTTTTTTTTTTTTTCCTTTCTTTTTGATGTTTTGGTGTTATTCTGTCAACCAGGCTAGCCTCAAACACCTGGCAATCTTTCTACCTCACTACTCAAGTGTTGAGATTCAAGGCCTATCCTACCAGGTTCAACTGCTCTGTTAATTGTGTGGGTGTGAATATGTTTGTGTGCACGTGCTCATATGTGCTGTGTCCTGCAGAAGCTAGAGGCCAACTGCAGGTGTCATTTCCCAGGCACCCATTTTTGAGGCACCATCTCTCTTTGGCCTCTTTGTTTCTATTACTAGGGTTCTGGTCATAGAACTCAGATACTTAAGCACCTTGCCATGTGACTAACTGTGCATTCTAAGGGGACTTAAGGTCATCTGAAGGGTGTTTGGCTGGGGGATGGTTCAGTAGATACAATGGCTGCCATGCAAGCATGAGGACAGGAGTTCAGAAACCCAGAATCCACATAAATGCCAAGCAGGCCTAGTGGACCACCTGTGATCTCAGCATGCAGGGGCGGAGGTAGGATCCTGGGGGCAAGCCATAGTCAATTGACTAGTAAAAACTGGCAAAGCTCCAAGCTCAGAGAGAGGCAACCTCAAAAGATTCGGTGGAGAGTAACTCATGAGGACATTGACAGCGACATCATGCTTACACACACAGGCCCACACACTTCAGCTGAAGACAAACTTATACATGTGAACACACATGGATTCATGCCCTCCCCCGATATATAGACTTACACATGTGAACACACACGCAACACACACACACACACACACACACACACACACAGAATGTGAGAGTTTTCTCTTCCTTTTCTAATGGTGCAAGGCTGGTTCGTGGGAGGTTTCAACGCTGTTTAACCCAAAGGTTGCAGGGCTCACAAGTCTGTGGAGTACATGATTTAGACAGTTCTGCTATGCCTCAGGAATCATGTCAATCAAATCACTATGTTCTGCAGCACTTGCTGAATAATTGGCGAGTATATAGTCTCTCTCTCTCTCTCATACACAGAGCTATCTCCAAGGCAGCAGGCCTGAAACCTGTTCCCCAGGATTCCTAGAGACCCAGGGTGTTGTCAGAGAACCAAAGGACCTTGCCATTCCCATCTCCTGGCTTGCTGTGGCTCTGTTCTGATATTTCATCTAGGACGAGGCTTTAAATTACTGAGTGTCATTTATCTGCCGTGTAGATTATGCATGGCTAATTTTCCAGTCTAGGCGGCCTCCTCCCTGCCAATCAACCGACCCCCAGGTCAATTGACTACATCAACCAGCTGGTATGTGCTGAGGGAATGCAAATTAATTTTTCATATTAGGGTAAGAAAATATAATCGGGAAGGCTTAGCTTGCCAAGACACGACCATGGCCATGCTTAAAACAAGACATGGACCCAAGTGTCACTGGTTTTTTCAGACATCTGGGCTTAGTTTCCAGGCCTTGGTAATGAATGCGGACATCATGACCTTGTTCTTTGTGCCTCCATCCACAGCCCATGACACAGGCCCCCCCCAACAACACCTGGTTTTCTAACTCTCTCTCCATGGTAAAATCTAGGTGCCCAGGGTGCTGCAGCTTTTGTGTATGTATTGGTTCTACTCCTAGGATGCTCCTGTCCATCTTTCCTTGGCTGACCTTCCCACCTCTTTGAAGAGGCTTCATCGACCCCCACTCTTCTGGTGACATGGAAAGAGGACTTAAGATGGATCAGAGGATTAAAAGTGAGAGGACCAGAGTCGGGATCTCAGATGCTAGCTAGAAGCCGGGCAGGTGGTGGCCCACCTATTGTCGCACACCTAGGAGGAAGAGAGGGGATGTCCGAGGCAAACTGTCCAGGTACACTAGCTGGCAATGAGGAGCTCTGGCTTCTGTGACAGTGTCCTGTTATCCCCTGTCTGCATTCCTGTTTCCATGGCTCTACCTGCCTCTAAAGCTGCCGTGTTTATTTTTGCCCACCCTGTTTCTTGCTCTCTCCATCAGCATGAAGTTTGCACAAGGAAGGGCACCCTTCAGGTACCATTTAGTCCCGCCCAATTCTAACACAACACCCTTTACTGGATAGCATTCAGGCAGCCCTTCGAGAACGAGTGAGTCTGCGAGCAGGCTGGGTCTGTGTGAGTAAGCCTTGGTGACAACCTGCCCACTCCCAGAGAGCACCCTGGGCTTTGTTTCATTTTCTGGTTGAGACAGTGGGGGGTGTCACCTGGTGATGACAGTAACCATGGCAACAACAGGCAACAACAGGATTTCAGCACCTTTTCTCCCAGTCACTATTAGCTTCCCCTTTTCTTCCTTCCTGATGTGTGCACATGTCCTTAGCACCCCTGGCCGTTGTCAGAAATTCTCAGGACCAAAACCTCATCCTCATTAGATTAACTTATGGACATTGAGCCCTTGTAATCTGCACTCATAAATCAATGTCATCAGCCCCTGGACAGTCTACACTCTTTCTCTCTGAACTCTGACCCATCCTCTGATGACGCTGTGGGTGGCCCACAGCCTTGAACGCACAGATTGGACAACTGCATGCACATCATCTTCCAGGAGTGCGGGGAAGATTCTGAGAGCATCTCTCTCCATTAGCCCCCCTCAGTGCCCCCTGCCAGCTCCTCCTGCAGTGAGCTCTCCCCACGACACCCTGACTAGATCTTTGCTGTGTGGGACAAGAGATGCTTGCTGCCTGCCTGCCCTGAGACTGTGAGGAAGCCCCGCCCCTTCTTTCTTCCCACCTTGTTAAGCGCTCTAACAAGCAGGAATCACCAGGAAACAAACAGATTCGAGGCTGTGGAATTGTTTTTCTGACCTTCTGCCCCGGAGACTATTGATTTGTTTGTCGATAGAAAACTTAGGCATTTCTTCTAAAATAGGATCTGGCTCTGAAGATTCAACTGTGCAGGCACAATCAAAATGGAAGATGCAGCAGAAGAGAAACCAGGAGGTGGGAGATAAACCCTGGGGTGCTGGAGGTTCAAACCCCAGATCCTAAAGACAACAAAGACTGTAGCTTCCATTAAAGGGAGAGGTGTTTTTCTCCTCTCTCCTGCAAATACTAAAAAGCTGTTTGAATTTTACTCATACTCACTAAAGAGTGGGTGGCAAGAATGACTAGTGTAAAAAAAAAAAAAAAGAAAGAAAAAACAAACTGCAGACTGCATTCCCTAAACATTTCCAGAAACAAACAAACAAACAAACAAAAAAAAACAAAAACACTCTGGCATTTTTTATGATGGCCAGGGTTTAAGTTTCTTTTTAAACTGAGATGTAATATCCTGTTATATCACACAGACCACCCTGGTGAAGTTTCCAATATGCAGACACCCCCAGAACCAGCACTCAGGTCAAGGTTAACACAATCCCAGATGCTTTGTGCTTGGGAATGCTCGATCCCTGGCACTTTCACAAGAGCCAGGAGCAGGGCCACACACCTGGAACCCCAGAGCTGGGTTGTAGGGGACAGGTGGAGCCCAGTTGCATGCTGGCCAGCAGGTCCAGTGTGAGAGAGACTCTGCATCAAAAACTAAGGTGGAGAGGGGCTGAAGAAGCAGCTGTCTGCTTGCGATTGACCCTGGCCGCCACATGCACGTATGAATGTGTACCTGTATACACATAACACACGCACAGCATACATCTACACAGGCATGCACGCACACACATACACAGCTGCTGACGAGTCTCTTGGGTACCTCCCCATGGCTGTAACCTTCAAGGACAACTGTGGCTCTGGCTTCTTTTACCTTAATTGACAATTCATCTTTTTTTTTTTTTTTTTTTTTTAAGTTCCATAAATACATTCTCTTTGTGTGTGACATCTTTCAACTCGTATCTATTCACTAGGAAGCCTGGGTATAAATTTGTCCTCTCCAGAGCTGCATGGTATAGAATGAACAGTCTATAGTTTATTTACCCATTCTGCTGTAGACAGACATTTGGGTTAGTTCCAGTTTGGGATAATTATGCATAAAGCTGCTCTGAACGTCGTTATATATGCATATGTAAATGAGTGGACCTAAACACTCGATTCTGTTGGATAAGTGCCCAGAAATGGAACTGATGGATCACAGCCCAGGCATATGCTGAGCTTTAATGGGTGCTGCAAAACCTGCCTAAAGCAGAGGCTCCCTTGTGTATTCTCACTGCAGTGTGGGTTCCAGTTCCTCCTTACTCTCCCCAGCCAGCGCTCAGTGCTGTCATCTGGTCAGTGTGTCATGGTGCTCCCTTGAGGTTTCAATCTGCATTTCCCTCATCACTCATGCCGGACAGCATCCTTCACATTCATTGGCCATTTTGTGAAGCAAGGGGGTGAATTTTTCTTTCTCTCCCTCTATGTCTCTGTCTCTCTGTGTGTCTCCCTCTCTCTCTCAGTGTATGTCTGACTCTGTATGCCCGTCTGTGTGTGTGTGTGTGTGTGTGTGTGTGTGCGCACACGTGTGCATGTGGTGTGTGTATGCGTGAACATGTATTTGTGTGCTTGCACAGGTGCACATGGATATGTGGAGGCTGGGGCTGACGTCAGTACCTTTATCTATGGATTTCCACTTCGCTTACTTTTTGAAAAAAGTTGTTACGTATATGGACATTTTTGCCTGCGTGTATGCTTGTGTACTGTGTGCAGGCCTGATGCCCACAGGCCAGAAGAGAGCACTGCATCCCTTGGAACGAGATTTTGGCAGTTTTGAGCTACCATGTGGGTAATTTGTCCTGGGTCCTATGAAAGAGCAGCCAGTGACCTTGACCATGGAGCCATCTCTCAAACCCCTCCACCCTAATTTTTGAGATGAAGTAGCTCACTGAACTCAAGAGTTTACCCATTGTCTAGACTGGTTGGCTGTGACCTCCAGGGATCTGCCTGCCTTCCCTTTCCACAAACATAAGATTATGGATGTGCGCTGCCTTGCCAGCCTTTTAAGTAGGTGCTCACATCCATATACTCATGCAGCAGGGACTTTACCAATTGGATTATTTATTTCTACAACCCAAGGAAGATTTTCTGTCAAAGCTGTATTATTTTTATTTTAGGTATGCATGCTTTGCCTGAATATATATGTATGCACCATGGTTATTCCAGGTACCTGTAGGTTAGAAGAGTGTGTGAGATCCTTTTGAATTAGAGTTATGGATGGCTGTGTGCCACCATGTGGGTGCTAGGCATCAAACCCAGGTCCTCTGTAAGAGCAACAAGTGCTCTTAACTGCAGAGCCATATCTCCAGCTCTACCCCAGGAGATGTTAAAGGGTAAGACAAGAACACACCACCCTCCTATTCTTTTCAGCAAACAATATGATTACCACTTGACAAAAAAGATGAAATCTAGGGGTTGGAACCCTCTGCCACTTGGCTATGTACTCATGGCCGTCCTCTGCCCTTTCAGAGGAACCGTTGAGCTCTCTATCAGGGCTGTCCATTCAGATTCCCTATCTCTTCTGCAATACCCTTCTGTTTCACTGCTTAGAAATCCAATTCTGCCTTCAGTGTTCTAAAATTCTATTCTATTAACCAAGATCCTTCTTAAGTCCTCAACTGAATGCAGGACAGTATCAATTATGTTCTATCCCTAGCAAATTTAAATCAGGACTCATCATAGTCAACTCTTCCCTCCTCCTCAACTGCTTTGGTTTTGCTATAGCTAGTCAACTTCTGAGACAATCCACTCCACTAAGGCAGCCTATTGGTCATATGAAGACTGCAGAATAAATTCCTTCCATATGAAAAGCAGACTAAGATATACTCTGTGGACACATTCTTTATTCTACCTCAGCAATGCTGTTTTTTATGGGGCCAGATTAGGTTTTTTGTTTGTTTGTTTTGTTTTTAAGCTCAACTTAAAATGATCAGAAGTAGATGCCTGGTGAGAAGAACAATAAAGCCTCACCTCACCTTAGGAAAAATTCTGTGATCCATTAGTTATGCCCACCATGGGCAAGGACATCAGCATGGGCATGCCTTCTTAACTTTACTGATTGATTGACTGAGTGATTGGTTTTTCAAGACAGGGTTACTCTGTGTAGCCTTGGCTGTCCTGGACTCACTTTGTGGACCAGGCTGGCCTTTAACTAACAGGCCATCCTGCCTCCCTGAGGGCTGGGATTACAGGCATGCAACACCGCGTCCGGCTTCTTAACTTTATTTTAAAACATATTACTGCACATGTGTATGATTAAAAAAAAAACTACCAATCTTTTAAGATGGACTTTGGTTGCTTTCTCTCGTCATATGTACTTCAAAACTTCCCATTCGTATCAGTCAAGAGGCTTCCTGACCTCTCCCAATGTTTTGTACATATACCGTGTATTTTTGTTCTTTATGACAATGTGTTTTGTTTTCCTACTTTAGTATTATTATTCTGCCTGTGTGTGCCATGGTACCCGTGTGGTCAGAGGACAATTTTCGAAGTTGACTCTCTCCTCTAACCATGGGTTCTGGAGTATTGAACTTGGGTCATCAGACTTGATCAACAGATATTTTCCCTCATGAGCCATCTCACTGGCCCTATAGTATGTTTTGAATAATTACTCAAGTGCAAAAAAAAAAAAAAATCTCAATCTGAAATTCCTTGTGTGGAAAGGGCCACATGTACACCACTGCTATTGGCTTAGGTTAGCCCTGTGCTCTTTTTGGACCTCCGAGCATTTGAGTATGTAGGTGTGACAGGAGGGCAATCAGACTCACTCACCGAGCAGCTGGTTGGCAGAGGAAGTGGTGAGGTTAAATTGCTGTTCCAGGTACTTGCCCAGGAAGGCAGCAAAGCCTGCCACCACAGCGATCTCCATGCAAGCAGCCAGGACAATGCAGGTGAACACAGGGTTCGAGAGCAGATGCTTGGTGACCTTGGGGATCACTGTGGGAGGGACAGAAAGCACGGTCAAGGTCATACATGTTGAGTGCCTACTTTTAGACCGCCTTAAATCCCTCCCTGATGCATTCTCATCTGTTTCTTTAAACAACACTGAGAGGGGCAGCACCTGGTGGCCCAGGCCAGAATCTATATCTTGTACATCATTTGTAACCAAAACTCTGGCTTCCAAGAGCACACCAACATCCCACAAATTAAGCCATCTTCTACTCAAACAGGCCACTCTGCCTGACTTGTATTCCGCAGCTTCAGGGGTTCAAGTCGAATATCTCTTAAGCAAGTACAAGTTGTTTTGTTGTCCCTTACTTCACTCCAAAATGAAATTGTTTTTGGATTTTATTTTCAAAAGGTAAACTGTAACATACAGATTATAAATTTTATACATCCAAATATTTAAGTATATGTCAATGTGCCTAAAACTATGCCCTGGATGTATACCGAGAGGATATGTTTAACACCATTTCTTTCTTGACACAAGAAACAAACCAAACTTTGGGCAGAGTGCTGGAAATCTTATGGAAGAAGAGGGAAACAGAAAGACCTGGAGGGGACAGGAGCACCACAAGGAGAACAACAGAGCCAAAAAACCTGGGCCCAGGGGCCCCTGCAGAGACCCATACTCCAAACAAGGACCATGCATAGAGAAGGCCTAGACCCCCTGTTCAGATGAAGCTCATAGGCTGCTCAGTTTCCAAGTGGGTTCCCTAGTAAAGGGTACAGGGGCTGCCTCTGACATGAACTCAGTGGCTGGCTCTTTGATCATCTCCCCTTGGGGGGGTACAGCCTTGCCAGGCCACAGAAGAAGACAATGCAGCCAGTCCTAATGAGACCTAATAGGCTAGGGTCAGATAGAAGGGGAGGAGGACCTTCCCTATCAGTGGACTGGGGGAGGGGCACGGAGGAAAAGAGGGAGAGAGAGTGGGACTGGGAGGAGATGAGGGAGGGGGCTGCAGCAAGGATACAAAGTGAATAAATGGTAATAAATAAATAAAATAAAAATTAAATTTAAAAAGAAATGAATGAAGCTCTCCTCCTTACAAATAGGTGTGAGCAAATCAAGCCCTCTGCACCCTGATCAGCTCTTACCTGCAGGGCAGGAGCATCCCATGGGGGTCTGAGCTATCAACCTTGATTCGCTCACACCTTACATAATAACTACTGGGATCAGCTTGGGTTTTCCTCTCTCTCTCTCTCTCTCTCTCTCTCTCTCTCTCTCTCTCTGCTCAAAGTCCACAGCAGGGAGTCCCTAGCATATAGTCTGGTCCTAGGGCTTTCGGTTTACTTCATGGTGCTGGGATGGTTCCAGGACGCTCTGCCCTTCCCTCCATTCCCACACTATTCCTCTCCTGGCTACATCCATGTCTTACATAAAACTTTCTTTATCTAGTGTAATGCTCTTCTCCTAGACTTTTTAAACATGTTCCCTACCTCCCAGATGGGCTTTCCTCATTGTCCAGCCTAACTGGGAAGAGGCTCCCAGACAGCTGCAGATGCTTAAGGATCCATAATACTTGGCTTTGGTCATCCACACTTATGTCCCATGGTACATCTCACAGGCCCGATAGCAGTTTGAGACTGTTGAATGATGCTTCCATCTTGTTTAATTCACTCTTATTTTCCTTACAGTATGGCTTCATGAGCCACCGAAGCTCCCTCTCACATTGATGCTTTTTAACAACTGGAGATTTGTTTTTGTACTTTGAAAGTCATTAGAATTCTTGGCACAGGGTCTTTAACCAGCTTTCTATGCTTTGGTGATATAACCTGTCTTTTCTATAAATAGTAAGGATGGAGGTGAAATAAAGGTTGCTGCAAGCATTGTCCAAGTGGTGTGCCTGTGATTAGACTTGGGGCCTGCTGGGAATGGGGCTCAGTTGGTAGAGTGGCTTGCCCAGCAGGAACATAGCCCTGGGTTTGATCTCCAGGGCTGCACAAAACAGGTATGGTGGCACAGGCTGTAATCTCAGTCCTGTCTCTTCAGCAGTGACACCTTTACTCTAGTGTGTGTGTGTATGTGTGTGTGTATGCAGGTTTATGTGTATTAAGATATGTATATGGAGGTCAGAGGTCAGCCTTGGGTGTCAGTCCTGCCTTTCACTTTGAGACAGAGTCATCTCCCCATTGTCTTCCTACCACAGATGCCAGCCTGCAGAAGTGCTGGGGATTCTCCTGTCTCTGCCTCCCATCTCCATGATATTAAACACTTGTGCTGTTCATCCTGCTTTTATGTAGGTTCTGGGGATTCAAACTCAGGTCCTTATACTTTCATAGTAAGTGCTTTTATCCACAAACCATCTCCTCAGTCCTAATACCTTTACTTATTTTTCTGTCTTTTCTGGACACCAGAATCTATACATGCTGAAATCTGTTATATAGAATAGTATACCATTTGTCTATAACTCACGCCCATTCTCTCAGATGACCTTATGTCACCTCTAAACAACTTACATCAAGTACAAGATAAATGCTGTACTAGTAGTTGCTAGAGCACATATTTAAGGGGCTTATGAAAGGACACAATTTGTACTTGTTCAGTACAGATGCAGTGTTTCATGGAATACATTTCAATAAGCAATTGCTTAGGTCTGTAGATATAGAACTTTACACAGATGGAAGCCAGTGGTATTTGCAAAATAATTAACCAAATATAGCTGATTCATTAAGTGCCATGGCTTAAGACAGACTGATTTTGAGTAATCCAAAGATAAGTCTTAGGTAAATCATAAATGCTTTTCTAATAATAGTAAGGATGGAGGTGAAATATAGGTTGCTGCAAACATTGTTCAAGTGGTATGCCTGTGATTAGACTTGGGGCCTGCTGGGAATGGGGCTCAGTTGGTAGAGTGGCTTGCCCAGCATGCACATAGCCCTGGGTTTGATCTCCAGGGCTGCACAAAACAGGTATGGTGGCCCTTGTGAGGTAGAAGCAGGAAGATCATAGTTCAAGGTTCTCCTCAGATACATAACATGTTTGAGGCCAGCCTAAGATACAGGAGATCCTGTCTCAAAAAGGCGGGGGGGGGAGGGTATATTTTTATTTTGCTATACTCCTATTACTAATAAAAATGAGGACTAGTGATAGGGTGTGTTTCTCTCGGTGCATGTGGAAAAGATCAGACACAGACTCATAGGGAGTTGGACTAAGTAATAGAAAAGGCCAATAAGTAAACAGGTAGGCTGAGAGCCTAACCCTGCACTCTGAGGTGATGAATTAGCCAGCTGTCCTACAGAAAAGAGCTAATTACACAGCCACAACCACATCTCCTAGGAGATGAAACCTCCAAATGGCCCATCTAATTAGAATAAAATAATAATAGGAGACACATAAGTTTTTAATAACGTTAACAGACAAGCTCCATGCATCAAAATGACAGAACAATAGGCTAGGGACTGGCAGACATACAAAACTTAAAATTTATCAGCTCTGGGAAAGATATCAAGTTTCCAAAGGGAAACTCTCCAGAGAGGAGGAGGATTGAAGGGTTTAGTTACAGCACTGGGCTGGACCAGATGACTGGAAGCTCAGGATTACTGTGGGCTGAGTCCTGGATCTCATGTCCAAAGGGATAAAGACAGTAACCAGCGTTGGTGGCCTCGGCTTTTCTACAAATGTTTCTGAGGCTTTTGAAAGGCAGCATTAGGGTTAACTGAAAGCACAACAAAATTAAAGCCAAAATTTTACAAAGGGTATGCACAGAGGCAGTAGACAAACAGCCTCCAGTCCTTGGACTTTGTGCCTGTACACTGTGCTAAAGAGTTTCCTGTTCTTTATGGGCATGCTGTGTGAATACTTTACAGGCCTTTAAACATTTATGGCAATCTGACTTTTTAGAAGTATCATTTCAAATAAATGCCTGGGAGTGTTTGCTTTTAAAATCTGTGTTTAAATGTTAAGAAACTTTCCTTTGTTAAATCCATATTGTTTTAAAGTATTGTTCAAATACTCAGAGAACTGTTGACTCCTCCGTGTTTAAAATACGGCTTAACAAATACAGAATCATGGAGTGCAGTGGGCATAAACAGAGGGTGATCTGTTCTTCACTGGCAAAGGTGTCGTGGGTATTAAGACTCCATCACGGTCGATCACTGTTGATGAGCCAAGGCAAATTTGAGACAGTGTGTGCCAAGCACGAGGCTACCGGGCAGCCAGGATAAGGTTCTGGAAGACTATAGCCACAGACTGCAGAGAGAGCAGTATGGATCACACTGCAATCACAGCATCTACTTGGAGTGGGCGAGTATGAACACCAAAGTCCTGACTGATTCTACACAAGAGCAGACACAACTGTTACTTGGTCACTGTGCTCTTTTGGAATGATGACCTCTAGATCCTGGAAGCACCTCCAGCAGCGAAGCGGCAGGCTTAGGTCAATCCAGGTAGATGACTCTCCACCATGCTTTCTCTGTCGGCTTATTTGCCTCAGTTGGAGTGCAGTCTCTGCCGAGTGGGACTCCAGAAGAATGGAAGGCTTCACATGCTGCCTGGTTACACCACCAGGAGCCCCTGACAGCAAAGTGTATCTGGCTCCAAAATGACATTGACAATGTTCTGAGTCAATTATCACATCCCTTTAGATTTCATCACTGCCTTAAACTTCATCATAATCTTCACGATCTGTTTGCGGGTAGCAAGGGCATTGGTTCCATGAAGGCAGCTTCAGTTAATAGGACATTTCTGTACTCCTATGAGGTTTTTAATTACTCTGGAGTTCATTCCATTCTGCAGGAAGGGCTCCTTGTTAAGACAGGAGTCTTCCTGCTTGTCTTAATGCCTAACGACTAATTTCTCCTTGAATTAGATGTGAACATCATTAAATTCATTGGACTGAAGGAAGGCCCAGGACACCTTATTTGCATGACCCTCTTCTCTTTGTGGCCAAGCTGATTGGCTTCCAGCAATGACAGTTTCCCCTGTCATTCCCCTGTCGTTCCACTCTCTTCCTCCCACATCCTTCCTCCCATCTACAATTTTATTGCAACAACTT